GATAAAGAGCTGTGTCTTGTTGTATATATAAGTGCCTAATAGGCTTAAGAAGCTTTTGTTAAAGAGATTAAAATGAATGAGCATTGTGGTTTGTCCTCGTTGTTACTGAAGCAATGCTAGTCTTCTGTTGCAGCTATTAGTACCTAGGCCTCATCTCCAGGAGAAGGAGCTTGTGCTTACACAATGCATAATGGAACACAAGAGGATAATATTTGTAACCCTGATGGGATCCACCATTAGTGGAAATTGGACCTGAAGACTAAATATGCTTAGTGCTGACTGATCTTTGATCATTCTGATGGGACCTGCTGGGTGTTGCAGTTCAGCAAAATTAGAACAGTCACAGGTTCCACATGCTTGCTAAAGTGCCCCTGAATACACAGCAGATATTGCAAGCATTTTGAATTTTCAGCCTATCAATTCACACCAAGCCTGTTAAAAGAAAAATGCTCATGCTATGCCAGATAAATCTAAATAAATTCAAAATTTCAGAACAAGTCAGAGGGAGAGACTTTCCCCATTAGAGTATGGCTAGATAACAGACTGGCTCCCCTGCCACTTCTCTGCATACAAAACCTAGCAAGGTGGCATCCCCATGATCATGTGATCAAAATTCAGATGCTTGGCAACTGGTTCATATTTATGACCGTTGCTGTGTCCCAAGATCATGTGATCTCCTTTTGCGACCTTCAGTCAAGCTCAGTCAATGGGGAAGTCAGTCTCACTTAATAACCGGGTTACTAGCATACCAGCTGCAGCAATTCACTTAACAATGGCAGCAAGAAAGGTTGTAAAATGGGGCAAAACTCACTTAAACATCTCACTTAACAACATAAATTTTGGACTCAAATGTGATCATATGTCGGGGACTATGGTGCTGATTGTTTGTTGGCAGTAACTATGGGAAAGGGTCTTTTTTTTTACAGTAAAAAAAAAATGACTTCCTGCAGGGTTTCTACCATTTGTTTGTATCTGACTGAAAGCACATGCCTAGACTGGATGAATCAGTGCTCCCCTGCCTTAAGCATTCTCAGCATAGCTTTTGGATGAGGTTAGCAATTTGGACAAGGCAGGTAATGAGCTGTATTCAATTCTTGAAACTTCCCTCAGCCTCCTCCTCCCGTTTGTAGACCAGCTCCTTTTCTTCCTTTTGAAGGTTACCTGTGCAACTTAGATCTTATAATACAGAATCATTTTTAAAAAGTGGAATGGTTGGTAAAATGAGCTGTAAATAAAATGTAAGTTCCTTTACTGCAGCCATATCTCAAGTTGGTCTTCTGGGCTACAATTCCCATTGCAGCTGGTGGTGAGTGGTATCATCTGAACTTTTGCCATCCTTATCAAAAGGATTATAAATCAAACACCCATAAACCTATCCACAGGAAAGCTCAAATGATTTGTAATATTATTTCAAAGTCTTCCATAAGTATAATCTGTTTAAGCCCCTGCTCATTTACAAAGGTTTTAAGGAGCTTAAATAATTGGAAATTTACAGAGCATGGAATACTTAAGTGCTACAAAGCCACTTTAATGAGTGGACCCAGCAAATACAAATTGTTTTGTGGCCCAACCCCCTAAAATCCTAAACTGTTATAGCTGAGGTAATTTAAAAGTTTAAAAGGAAATTAAAAGGTTGCTTAACTCTTTTTCTCCTCCTTTCGATGTATTTTATAAATATTAAAAAAGAATGATACTCAAGTGTGCTAACAAATCCTCTCATCACTCTAAGCAATACCACTGCACATAATCTAATATAATCCACCATAATCCATAATCCAGATTATGATTGGATTAAAAGCAAAATGGTGTGGACAAACCTACATGGCTGCTTTCAGATATGTAATAAACTATGGTTACCATCTCTCACTTGGTGTTCCAGTTCTCTCATTCCCTCCTAGTAGAAATAAGTAAACAGAATCAGCCAAACAGTTAACCAACTTCAATTAAATAGAGGTTATAATTACAATTGTGTTTTTTGGGGCAGCTGTGCTACAGGAATCAAAACCTTAGAAGTCAGAAATGATGTGTTAAGATACGGTATTTGTTCAAATTAGCAGAGAATCTAAGAGCAAGAAGGGTTGTTTGAGTAATGATGAAACTCTAGGCCAGGGGTCCCACAACCTTGACAACTTTAAGACTTGTGGACTTCAGCTCCCAGAATTCCTCAGCCAACTGGCTGAGGAATTCTGAGAGCTGAGTCCACAAGTCTTAAAGTTGTCAAGGTTGCAGACCCCTGCTCTAGGCAATCAGATTTTTAGACAAGGTTACTGCCTTACCCCTTTTTGCTTGTCACTTATGATGTTAATGATCTCATTTCATTGGATTACTGTAAATGCAGTTATATTTCTTGGCATTTGGGAACTTTTCTGATAGGACTAACCAATGGATTTTAGTCCTTCCAATGTTAGTCAATTCCTGGCTCTCCCTCCAGTATAAAAATAGAGACAACTGTTATTATCATCTGTTCCACCTTGACCTCCCAATATTCATTAGGAGAAAATGATATATTTTTTCTGTCATTTGAGATTTTCTCCAGTTCTGAGATGGTCATGCTATAAAAATAAAAGACAACCATAACATATAGCTTATTTTAAGAATAACCAATTTCATATAGGCTACTTAGTCTTAGGGGAAAAAAAACACCTTTTGGCTTTGGTTCACATAGTCTCATTCTTTTCATGATAAATCAAAATGAAATCACCAGCATAACAGAAAAAAACCTATGTATAAACTATGCTGACATGAAAAAAGGAGGCCCATAATAGTAAATGTCCCTCACCCTAACATTATTAAAAATCTGAAACTCCAGCAATAAGCTTTAATAAGCTTGCTCATTTAAAAAAAAATAGTTTGGCAGACAGACTTCACCATATAGCTATTATAGATGACCTCATCCCACTTTCTTGGAAGCAACAGCAGCGAGGACTAGAATATTGAAAGTAAATGGCAATAAGGCTGAGGGAGAACTACAGTGGTAGAAATGTGTTGACAGATGTCAGCTCCAGTTGCTGCTTCCAAGCTGTCTTGATCCTAACAGCAGCTTCCCTACAGATTTTCACTCTAGCCTCTCCTTTACTGAAAGATTTCAACATATATGTCATATACAGGTAGTCCTCAAGTTGCAACTGTAATTGAGCCTACCCATCATGGCTGTAACTCGAGGGCCTCAAAGCGGGTCAGTCACATGACCAACTTGGTTTTATGATTCCCCCCCCCCAGCAGTTGTTAAATAAATCATTGCAATTGCTCAATGAACAAATGATTGGAGCTATGGCTGCGGCTTTGCTGAAAACCAGAAATAAATGCCTCTTTGGAGGTGGGGGCAAAACCATAATCAACCATGGTGGCATGATCACGGAACATGGCAAGCTGTCATAAATGCAGCCTGATTGCCAAACACACAATGTGTGAGATCATGTGACTGTGAGTGTGTGTGTGGGGAGTAATGGTTGGAGCTTCTAATCCAGGTCCTAAGTAACCCCCAGGCAGGTGTGTAGGAACTTTGAATGGTTGCTAAGCAACCACTTGTAAGTTGAGGACTACCTGTGAATCTTCAAGAGAGTTAGCTAAGTTACTGCTTAGTTAAGGGGTGTCAAACTGCAAGCCCATGGGCCGGATGCGTCACAAGGATGCCGGCAATGGGGAAAAAGCTCTGATACGTCGCGCAACGTCACGTGACATCGCAAGTTTGACATGTCTGGCTTAGTTCATTGTGGTGAAGATTCTAATCTTACAGGAGGCACTTATTCCATACCATTTTTAAACATAAACTCTTTTGTACATTGTCAAAAACATGAACTCCAAAAAAAGAGAGGTCTTCTCTTGATTCCCTTGTATACTTCCCTATTTAAGGGAGATTCACACACTGACATCATCACTTATAAGGATTGTGGCCTGGAATGACCTGACTGCTGTTCTTGTGGGCTTAAATTATCACACATTCTCCTTCCTCTTCCTTCTTCCTTCCATCTTCTCTTGCAGGCCAAACCTATACAAAGTCCCTCTATGAGGGAGATGGGCAGTTTCTAAATGTGATATATAAAGAAATAAAATACAGCATGTTCTTCCTCTTTCTTGCCACATGCAAAAATAACATCAGGGTGCTTTGTCATGGCTTTTTGTAATTATACTTTGAATATGCTTCTTAAAACCCACATAAATACATATTCTCTTAAAAATGTTGGATTTGCTTAAATCAAACTAAATCACTGAGACAAATGTTATCAATTCCATGCACATTTACCCTTCTCAAGGAAACTCCACTGGAACTTATTTATTTAGAATTGCAAACTGACAGCAATTGCTGCTTACTTGGAAGTAAATTCTACTGAAACCATGGCTCTTGAAGAACGTTAAAACAAATCAGTTTTTTTATATAAATAAAGAGCAGGTTCTACTGCAGTACAAACTGATACATAATTCACAAAGTCTATTTAGCTTCAGCTATTGTTGCCTTGAAAAAGTGTACAAAAATGAGAACTTGTGTAAGTATTTGGAAATGTATATGTAAAAATGTGCATTAGTAAGAACTGCCTAAAAATTTAGATAATGGGGAAATTTGCATAGATACATGTATATCTTATGAAAAGAAGTACACAGAATATGTAGGATAGAGAACACTGCACAACATTTAATTTTTTTTTTGAAATTTATGATGGAGTAGATAGTGTGCATGAATAAATATAGTATGGATCTAGACTGATCGTCATATGCTAAATTCCAAATAAATTAAATAATGAGTATATGAGCTCCATAGAATCTTAATAGGACTGAAGTAAGGTTAGTGGAAATATTATGTATTGTAGATTACACAGTGGCCAAAGTTAAATGCAGTGTAAAACAAGAAAGCACAGTAGCTTTTAAAAGAAATATTCCTACAATGGAATTTGCAGAATTAAACAAAAAATGTAAAAAGTCTGATCCCCATTCTAATAAAAAAGCATTCCAAAATTGTGTTTTTTGCTCTTAGGATTTGTGACATTGGATTGTTCTCTTGACAGGTGGAAAATTTCCTGAAGACTTTTCAGTTCTATTTACAATAAAACCTAAAAAAGGAGTCCAGTCCTTTCTTTTATCTATCTACAATGAACACGGCATTCAGCAGGTTGGCATTGAGGTGGGCCGGTCACCTATCTTCTTGTTTGAAGATCAAAATGGAAAGCCTGCCCCAGAAGATTATCCCATCTTTGGTACAGTCAATATTGCTGATGGAAAGTAAGTGGAAGATTATGATATCTGTGTGAGTTATTTGAATATGTTGTCAATTAAGGGTACCGATGTCAGCCACCAGATGATTTTAAACAAAACATTTTGCATGGATTTTTTCAGTAGGGTTTGAATATGAATCTTTGCCATATGATTATTGGCATCTTCCTGCTGCTTTGTTTGTTTTTATATCTGTGTATCATCTTCGTTTTGCTTTTTGTATTCTATTTCCCTTAACATACTACCTATAGTAGATGATCTTCTCCTATTTTCTCCATTCTTCAATGTGTGCTTCATAGTATGCTGTCATATTCCCTTCCCAATAAGATCTCATTCATGCCATAAAAGGATGAAGATACCAACCTGACTGGTTTTGATTTGCATCAGGAGACTAACCTGAGTCTATAAATATGCCGTCTTGTTCAATATTACCCCACAGAGTATAGGTAGTTCTAAACTTATGAACCACAGTTGAATTTCAATTGTACGTCACTGAGGTTGCATATCAAGGCATCCTATGACTAGACCCAATTTTTTGACCATTTTTACAGTGGTCATTAAGCAAATCACATGGTCCTGAGTCTGAATCCACATCCCTGAATGAATGCTTTTTGCTAGAAATCAGCAAAAAAATATTGCAAAACATAGTCACATGACCACAGGATACTGCAACCAGTCATAAATGTGAACCAGTTGCCAAGCAGCTTAAAGGTGGTCATGTGACTGTGAGCAGGGCAATGCAATATTTTACAAATGCCAGATGTTTTACAGTCCAAGCTTGTCAATGGATTATTAAGCGACAGGTCATAAATTAAGAACTATCTGTGGAGTGTCAATTTAATGCTTTCAAATAAATAAAATTAGCAAAAATAAATATTCTTTCAAAATAGAGCCCTTTTCGTATGTCCCTTTCACTCTATTATGGGAGAATATTTAAGCAAATAGAAAATTTACCAGAAAACTTTTTGAACTGAGAGATGGCTATGAAAACGTTAATCTTGACTTGTGTCAGTAAGACAAGCTGAGCTAGTGTTTCTGTTACAAAATCCTCAAAATCCATTGTATTTTTATACATCTCACCTAGAGTCAGTCATTTTTCCTTACAATTCCCATTGAGAAACACGTTTCCCAGCTCTCCCCACTTGTTTTGATCTGCAACTCATATATGGCTGAGACTGGGAGTTTTGTGTCTACTCTGTGCACAGCCTTGGTCAATGAAGAAAATTTATTCAAAGAAAACACACACTCAGCCCAAGAGGCATTTGCCCCTTGACCTCCCTGACCTTCAGATAGAATTTCAATTAAGAGGTAGCTAGGATCTTGCAAGGAATAACAAGAACACTGAATTCTAACAACAGTTTATTGGTTTAACGTTTGATGCCTGTACACTCACACATATATTCTTACTTATACTCATTCCACATTTAGGACCAGCCAAGCCTGAAGGATGTCAGCATGCTCTTTATCCTTTTGGAGCTTTTACATTGCATGCTGCAAGCAAAATTTCACTATGTGCAATGCTAATTAGTAATAGTAATAGTAGTAAAGTTGGAAGGGACCTTGGAGGTCATCTAGTCCAACCCCCTGCTCAGGCAGGAAACCCTACACCATTTCGGACAAATGGCTGTCCAGTCTCTTCTTAAAAACTTCCAGTGTTGGAGCATTTACTGATTAATTAATCAGTAAATTAATTCAGTGATTAATTAATCACTGAACATTTTTTTATGTCTTTGGCCAGATCATGATTCTGCTTTTTCTTTCCCTTACATCCTGGAATCTTGGAATGTGAGGTGCTCACTTCCAGATAATGATTACTGTTTTTTTATGAGACAGAATTTTGTATTGTCTTTCATTGCACCTTCCAGGGATGAGGAGGAAGAGGAGGAGGTGGAGGAGGATTTTCCTTATTGCATACTATGTACCTTGTTGCCTAGTATCTTCCCAGCCAAACTAGCTAGGGTGATTTCCAGTGGGATATTGGAGAACACCAGTGGTGGGCTGGAACTGCCTAGTAGGACCATTTTAAGATTTTTTTTGGCCTTTGAAACACCTATGAGGTAGGCTTAGAGTTAAGGTTGGGCTAATGCCTACGGTTGGGTAAAAGGAGGGAGTTAGTATTACACTGCTGCCATGAGTAGAAGAAATATGGTCGCCCAACAGCGTTATTATGTTTCAGGATATTTATGGTACATGGTTGTCGTTTTTTTTACCCTAGCCCTGAAGATTCTGTGGATGAATGACAGGATTTTTCTGTCAGGGTATGCATTGCTTGTATAGAAAAGTCATAACTATTTGATTTTTCCATCGGCATACTATGTGAAAAAGATTGATGTCCAAACTACATTTTATATAGCTTTTCTAGACACATTAGATCTACAAGGATGTCGTTGTAGTGCTTACCAAAAGCATCCAGTAAATTTGCTGCAAATTTGCTGTTTAATAGCGATCCTCATTGCTGGAGCTACTGAAAAAGAGTTTCTAGTTATAATGAAGAAATATAGCCTTTCAATATTTTAAGCAACTATAATTACTCCATTGATCTTAAGATGTAAATTTTCTAGGTAAATGGTTTCTTCTTTTTAAAACACTTTGATTCCTATATTAGGTGGCATCGGGTGGCCATTAGTGTGGAGAAGAAATCGGTTACCATGATTGTGGACTGTAAGAAAAAAACCACAAAACCACTTGAGAGAAGCAGCCCGGCGGTCGTTGACACCAATGGCATTACTGTCTTTGGAACACGAATTTTGGATGAAGAGGTGTTTGAGGTAAATATTCAGCTGTCAAATGACCACATATTCAATCCTATGTGAACAGAATAATCATTGAAGGCAGAACATGGTAAAATTGCTGTGTGCAGGCAATCTTGTATAAGGCTTGTGGAAAGTACATTTCCAAATGAAAACATTGTGCTACAGTAAACATTTTGAAATACGGGTAGATTAAGATGATGCACAAATACATTTGAAATAAATGATTTTTAAAATCTTAGTTTTGCAGATTTGGATATATCTGTATACAGATTTAGAGGAGAGCATTATTGGTTGTAATGTTCCATTTGTTTGTGATGTTCCTGAGGGTCTGTCAGTCTCTTATTTCATCCTTCTGATATGTTATCTCTGTTGCTGTGCTTTGCTATGGCATGTGAGTCCATTCCTGGATCACTCAATCTGAAACACCTGGTAATGTAGCAAAACACTAAGTCATTTCTTTCTTGCCAGCAGTAACCTTTATTCCTGCTGTTATTTTAATCTGTATGCACAACTATTGAACTGAATGAAAGAAAGACAATTATCTCATATAAATCTGATATTATCATGAACATTGGTTTAGAGTTTGGAGTCTTAAAGATGTACGATGTCTAAGTAAAAAAAAAAAAAATCCCAGTAGCACTGCAGGAATCTGATTGCTTAATTATATGTGGGATGGCATCAAGAAGTTCACCTTTTGTGACCTGAGTCACTATTGTAATGACTGGGGTTAGGGATTTGGGAACTCCAATGTATTTCCACCTAAAATGAACTATGGAATTTTCATCATACTGAGATGAAAAGAGAAGAAAAGTCAAAACTTTTTGCAGTGTAAACTTGTTCAGGAATAGATTGCATTTCCAAAGTAGGCTGGTCTAAAAGCAATGCAGCTGAAGTGAATCCAATTGGTCATATGAGTAAATGCTAATTAAAGTACAGCAGTAGACTTATGAAGCTGTTAAAATTGGTATAACTATATGGATTGAACAGTCCGTTTATCTATCAGTAGTAATAGTGAGGCTGCAGTTCTGAACTCAACATAACTCAGAAAAATGATTTTTAAAATGTGGGTGTGTGGGTGTGTATAGAAAGAGAGAACTGCCAGGAAGGAAGGAGCTTCCCTCTAAATTGTATTACATTAATTAAAAAAGAAAAGGCTGTTGCAGAACATATGTTGGAAATAAAAAGCTATTTGGGAGGGCAAATCCTGGGGAAAGCATTTCAGAAACAAAATAAAGAATAATCTTTCTAAATAAAATTGATATTTCCATTGCAAATACCCTTAGTAAAATTGCTGTAAAATTCTGTATAGTTGGTTTATTTTACTATATGAAAAGATGCTAAAGATGTTATAAATGTCTAGGCTATGTTGTAATAGAAGAGAATTCACCATTGGTTTGGCTTCATAATCTCTATGACACGGGTGTCAAACTCGCCATGTCATATATTGCCACGACGTATCGCGAGTCTTTTTGCCTTGCCAGCAATGGGGTAGGCGTGGCTTTGGTATGATGAAACTGGCCCGTGGGCTGGCAATTTGACACCCCTGCTCTATGAGCTTTCTAGTCAGCTGTGTTTCATTCACAACAAGTTGGGAAGGGGAAGTACAACTCTCCTACTACTTATTTGAAATTGACGATGCTGATCTCAAGTATTTTCCTTTCAGGGTGATATATCCTTTGTAGACATGGGGAATACTGTAGTGCAAACATCTTCACATGTGTATGAGTCTTATACAACCTTGTTGTTTCTCATTATAATGGGCTATGAGAATAACTTTGGGAGACAGGGGGAAGAGTCACGGTTTAGATAACAATCTGATAAAGAAAACCTGAGTTCAAAGTATGAATGGGTGGAGTAAGCATCTAAGATGGAACCTTCCCTAGTTATCTGAAAAGTAAAGGCAGAGGAGGGAGAAAGTGATTTCAGATATGTAAGATACTATTACTCCAACTTTATGATAAAGGTAGTTTAGTACTCAGTTTCAGCCTAATTTTGATTAACTGAATGTTAAATTATAATCCAAGATCATTTTTTTTAGAAATTAAATATGTTAATTCATGGGATTGAGTGTGCAAATAATAATCATGACAGCATAAAAAATAAACAGTCTATGTGATATTTGAACATAGCATGCTTTACAAATATATAGCATGCCACACACACACACACACACACACAAACATACTGTACATACACACATACACTTGCTTGGATAGAGCTGAGTATTTACTGCTGGATGCCCTTCCTGACACCTATGTGGAGTTCACAGAAGATGTTTTTTCTTTGCACCCTGGGAGAGAAACATCTGCTGCTACCTAGGATTGAATCTCAATTTTCTGAGTGGGAGGGAAGCATCTTTACCACTAGGCCACCACACCTAGTTTATTTATGTGTATATATACACACATACACATGCACATAAATAAATACACACACACACACACACACACACACACACACACACAAACACTTGTACATTGTGTTCTATGGCCTGTGATGAAAATTGGGCATCTTTTGGGACAAGAGATTTTCTGTGCAGGTCACCAGAATTACACATCAGCTTGTGTGATACATTATGGTGAAAGGAGAGACAGGTTATCATGGGGAAGCCATTTGGATCAGTCTTCACATTACATTTATAAGTGTGTTCTGGATCTTTCTTCCAAGAAAATACATACATTGAAATGACTGTAAATAAGTGTAATATTTCAGCCTTCCTGTAATTACAGAGGTGGTCCAGAAAGAACTCTATTTGTGACTTATACCTTTTGATATTTATTTATTTCATAAGTCTTTCCAGTAACTAAAGAAGGTTTGGCAAAAGGAAGTATATTTTTCCACTATTTAAAATCCAGGAAGAAGGATTATACAGACCACTGAAATACATCTGTGCAAAGGAATCTATATGGGAGACTGAACTTTTTATAGGAAGTATTCCCTAGAAAGGTTATTTTAACAGACATTTGGAGGGCATTTATGTTTTCAGGCGTCTGATTTTACAAGGCTGTCACATGCCAAGAAAAATAATTGAAGCTGAAAAGATGGTCTTTAGGAATGGATGTGGTAGTAGTTAAGTCTTTCTGCTCCCTGCAGATATGGTTAGCAAAGCAGCAAAAATATTTCAGGTTCATTTGGATTGAGGCCAGGTTAGTTTCTGAAAAATATAGAGTTAGAAGTGCAAGCATTTCATTTACAATCAGCATTATTTCACCGCATGAATTTCTCACATTTTTAGAAATGTTTTTTTTTTCAAAATTTGACTTAACGTGTAATTCAAGACTTTAGAGTTTGAGGAAAAATGCACTTCAGATTGCCAAAGGTAATTATAAAAGTTTAGATAAGAACAGCAAAAAATAAAAATAAAAATTATGCTGGATGTTTCCCATGTCCCTTTTTTTAGTAAGGGATTTTTTTTTCCTAAATTGAAATTCGAACTGAATTTAGGGGGTATTTTAGAACTTTTAGAGAATTTTAAGGAAAGCGAGTAAATACTTGATAAATAAAGTAATAGTTTTGGTGAAGAGACTTCAGAAGAGAACATGTAATATTTGAAAAGATGTCAGTGATACAAAATTCCCATCTCTTCTTTTCCTCTTAATTATGTATCAAAACTATTTATCAGCAGAGGTTTATCGAAGTCTAATACAAATATTATAACTCACATCTGAATGCTAGAATGGCAGAGTTAATTAAGATGGCTGTATGGAATAATTTAAGATTGATGAACATTGTGGAATGGTGTTGAATATTTTACACATAAAAGCATAAAGTCTAAACACTTTTTTTTTACTGCTTCATTTTCTGAAGAGGATATCTCAGTGCAAGCAATTTTAGTATCTCTGCTTCAACTCTAGGCCCTGCACATTTAAATTCAATATTATTTTATTGCTCTAGTTGCAGATAGTTAGTGAGATGGTTTGAATTCCTGCAGTGTTTTCCATTTTGCAGCCATTGCTACATGCATTCTCAAGCACAGTCCTGTGGTTTTATGTATGAGCTAGGAAGCCAAGAATGATTCGTCTATGCTAGGTTTTAGTGGATGTATTGTTCCACCCATGGGCAGGATTTGAGAAAGTAACCATTAAGGACTAAATATTTCAATATCTATGTCAGTATGTATGTCAGGATTTTTTTATTTTACCAATATCCAGGGTATCTATGTCACACATACATTACTAATGAGATATTTGCCACAAATAAGCATCAGACACTAGACAAACAAAGGCATTGGTGGCTTCACTATAAGAACTAGGTGACAAAAGATTTTAAAAAAAAGTGGCTCAACATTGTGTAGGACAAATGCTATAAACAACATCAACATTTGAGGGTTTGGGTTTTTTTTTTTTTCTAGATCTTTAATAAGATGACCAACCGTCCTCCTTTAGGGAGGACAGTCCTCCTTTTGTGAGTTCTATCCTCCCTCAAAAAGTGTCCTCCTTCATGTCCTCCTTTTCAATATTTGAAGACTAATCTGCAGGGCTTTTTTTTTCCTTCATAGAATGCTCAGAACGGCGTTCCAGCACCTTTTTTGATGGGTTTTTTTTTCAGCTTTTGCATGAGCTGTGCTACTCCCACTACTGGCTTTTGAAAGCCAATAGGAATTGCTGCTGAGCGCGCCAAAACACCCGGCTGGCAAACTTTGCACATGCAATTTGACTGCATTGTTGTTGCAATGAATAAAATGTTTCTTTTATTTACGATATTTTTTTCTTCAATTTATTTGTGTCCTCCTTTTCATTGTAAAAAAGTTGGTCACCTTATCTTTAAAGAAAATCTTTATGCTAAAAACAATGGAAAATTATGGTATCTGAAGAACCATTAAACTATTGTGGCAAAATTTGGGCCTTGGTATATTAGCATTATATCTTAGTGCCACTGTCAAATGGCTAAATGGAACAAAAATTGGCAGTGACTTTACACATAATAATTTAATTCTTTGAAATGCTTTTCTGTATTTGGAATGTAAACATCCAGCACTGGGAACAGCACTGTTTTTATGGAATTTAATAAGTAGT